GTCCATTAAGGAACTCCAGTGACTGTACTTTAACCAACATTACTCCAAGCTTATATGGTCCATTAAGGAACTTCAGTGACTGTACTTTAACCAACATTACTCCAAGCTTATATGGTCCATTAAGGAACTCCAGTGACTGCGCTTTAACCAACATTACCCCAAGCTTATATGGTCCATTAAGGAACTCCAGTGACTGTACTTTAACCAACATTACTCCAAGCTTATATGGTCCATTAAGGAACTCCAGTGACTGCGCTTTAACCAACATTACCCCAATCTTATATGGTCCATTAAGGAACTCCAGTGACTGCGCTTTAACCAACATTACCTCCAAGCTTATATGGTCCATTAAGGAACTCCAGCGCAGTCACTATAAGCTTGGAGTAATGTTGGTTAAATGGTCCATTAAGGAACTCCAGTGACTGTACTTTAACCAATAGTAGTTTAATTTTTTACTCATTATGGCACTATCCCGTGAATGTGTTTAAACCATTAATATCTTAGCTTTTAAGAATCCTTAGGGTACTATACAGTTACTGGACTTTAACAAACAGTATATTAAGCTTGTACAGTTCTTTAGGGAGCTATCCAGTTACTGGACTTTAACAAACAGTATATTAAGCTTGTACAGTTCTTTAGGGCATTATCCAGTTACTGGACTTTAACAAACAGTATATTAAGCTTGTACAGTTCTTTAGGGCATTATCCAGTTACTGGACTTTAACAAACAGCATATTAAGCTTGTACAGTTCTTTAGGGAGCTATCCAGTTACTGGACTTTAACAAACAGTATATTAAGCTTGTACAGTTCTTTAGGGCACTATCCAGTTACTGGACTTTAACAAACAGTATATTAAGCTTGTACAGTTCTTTAGGGAGCTATCCAGTTACAGGACTTTAACAAACAGTATATTAAGCTTGTACAGTTCTTTAGGGAGCTATCCAGTTACTGGACTTTAACAAACAGTATATTAAGCTTGTACAGTTCTTTAGGGAGCTATCCAGTTACTGGACTTTAACAAACAGGGAGCTATCCAGTGAATGTGTTTCAAGTCATCGTACCTCGAGTCTTTGTGATGCCTAGGGGCACTATTCAGTAGCTGATTTTTAAACAATAGTATCTCTAGCTTTTTGATCCCTTAGGGTGCACTTCCTACTCTTATATATCCATATTTATATTCTGTTTAATACTTCAATTGTATTATAAGCCTGTTTATAACATAAGTTATGAAATATTGTACATAATGATTCCACAAACCGAACTTTTGTAAAACGTATTTTATTAAATTGAAATATGTATATAGTGACGTGCCCAAGATTGGTGGAGGGGAATTCCCATTATATATATATGTATATGTGTGTGTGTGTATGTGTGTGTGTGTAGATATTATTTAATATAATACCAAACATCATATCATTAATTTGTCAAAATCTTAAAGTACGATCATTAATCCTGCCTCCCAGTAGCACAGCGATATGTCTCCAGACTTACAATGCTAGAAACCGGGTTTCGATACCTGTGGTAGGCAGAGCGCAGATACCTTTGTGCTTAATTACAAACAAACATTAACCCCAATACTAAACCGTCAGTTTATTAGCGCGTTTTCACGATAGTCTTGTGAACGATCAATATCTCTTTACAACGTATGTGAAATATAATTCCTACAAAAGCAAATGGAAGATATATTAAAATATCTATACATTTTCTACCTTTTGATCCGAAAACAAAGTCATCGACATCGCAATAAAACAGTTGCGTTACAGTTACTGAAATCATAATAAATATTCCTGCACAGTTTTAACTGGTGAGGTTTGATTTGAAACATTGGTGCTCTTTGTCCACAAGCTCAGCAGTCCTTCCAACAGATCTGGGAAGAAAACTATGGTCTTTTTAGGTGAGATTTTGCAAAAAATAGTATTTTGTAAGAGTAGGTAATTAAACCGTCTGAAAATAAACTGTAACGACATAAAATGAATTAGTCTATTTTGGCTATACTACGAAGTAAAGCGATGTTTTGAAAGGTAATTAAACAGCAATATGCTAACATGTCGGAATGGATCCAGAGGTAACAGTGACAGATATTCTTGTTCCCACCTCAGCGTCCATGGGTGTATCCCACTTTTCTCACAGGATGGAGTAAAGAGGTCATCCTTGTATTGACTGCACAGGTCTTTGGTACAGGCATACAGGTTGTCACAACTCAAAGTGACCAGTACTGATGGTAAGACCCAATCTTGGACTCTGTGACGCGCTGTAAAGCGACAACTTGCTAAGCAGACGTTTGGCTCATCATTCGGTACATTCTCAAAATGCTGCTGTCGTCCACAGTGACGTGGCATGCTAGATCCAATGCCTACATTGGCACACAACTGTCGATCTTCATAAATTCACTTGTTATGGTATTTGTCTCTAACATCCTGAAGTGCAATAACAACCTCATCAATGTCATTGACGACCTTAGTTATGTCTTGTGGGCTGAGAGTGAAGGCTTGAAGATTGATAGTGAAGGTAAGCCAGATACTTGTTTGTGATTACAAGGACATGAATAAATTCAGAGGCAGTTAGGATCAGTATAAGTTCTTTGACATCTGTTAAAAAATCTGTTGAATATTCAACTGTATCAGCTGCTCCTATAGCATCCAAACATGAAACAAGGGCAACGTGTTCTGTTTGTCCTGTGATGTGTTTAGCTCTACATTTTCAATGCATCATATAGTGCCCGTTTTTTTTTGGATGTGTGTCAAAATAAAAAGGTGCAGCTCGACTTACAACTCCCGCCATATTTCGAATGTTAGGGTTTGCAGGGACGTTGCTGTAAAATTTAAGCACTGCGATGTGTAATGCACGAACAATGCAAGAGGGTATTGAGTTGTTTTAATGGTTGCAGTATATTTTTTGCTTCCAGCCATGTTAGCTGCATTGACCACGCAGGAGATGTAAATCTGAATCATAACTTGCTAGGCATGGTTTAATATTTTATTAAATTCAAAAAATCGATCATATGTTCACGTACTCATGATTCTGGTTCTTTACTATCTTCCTCGACAACAAAATCAAGATATTTTAGAACAAAACTCAATTGTTCCTTATTTGAAACATCAGAAGTTTCATCTGTTAAAACGGCGACATTGACTGTCTTGATAATGCTTTTACGAATTTGGACACTGATAATATTGACCAGCTCGTTCTGAACTTCAGCACTTGTGTAAGTAGCATTTCCAGTTACAGATTCCCTGTGTTCAACTGTGTGTGGTATCTCCACGCTTCTCTGAAAAATCTAGGGTGCCCAGAAAGTTTCCATGATTAGCATCAAAATCATTTTCAACGTCTATTTTACTGTTTCTGTGACTGTGATGGGAATATTCTGGCGACCAGAGAGCACTACCACATTAATAATGCTTTGTAGCTTTACACAGTCGACAGCAATTCTTGGGCGAGGACTTGGTTCTCTGATGTTAATATAGTTTTTTGCTTCCCATCCATCACGTCATTGAAACTTGCTGCCATTGTTACTCTGCCCGATAACTTTCTTTTTGTTCATGTTTGATCAGTGTCGAAAGGGCTTTTGTGAAATTGATAGTTGGGTGGCTGACAAGGACTCCGATACCATTGTAATCCTGATCTTTTTCAAACACCATGCAGGTAATACAGTAGCAATTATTTTGTCAGGCACCAAAGACAAGCCATTTAAATATACCAAACCAATCAAATTGGAAGCAAATCTGTTTTCAACATTCTTCTTTGGGTGGAAGTTTGTATTCATAACTAGGTTTGAAAGTACAGTCATATAGAAGTTTGTTTGTATCAGTGTCAGATAGGCATTTTCTAACATTAATATCAACATAATCTGCTACATCTATGCCTATCTGAAACAAATTAAAGAAGGCTACTTACAAAAATAAAAGTCAGCAAGAATCAGTGATGTACAAAGGGCATTAGAAGGACAGGGTCTCATTGACAAAACTGGCTCTTTTTAAGAAATCTAAGACAATCTTTTGTTTGGGGAGGGGGGTGTTACATGAGATTATGGGGACTGCGGGTTACTATTAGTACACATATGGTAAAAAGCCTTAAAAAGCATATAGATCTTCTTTTATTCCTATTAAATTTGTCTTATAACCACTTTTATTTTACTGTAAAATCGTACAAGTTCCCGTGTTCCATGTATTTTAAAGATGAAATATTTTATTTTTCTTTCTAACAACTTGCATCAAGCAAGATATGGAGTCGGGTGTATCTTTCTGTATTTCTTGAAAATTTTTATGACAGAGAAAAAAAAGGGCACTTTTGGGGAACAAAGGGCAGGGTCTTGAGCACATCCACCTCCCTGTGCACGTCATTGGTAGACCTACTAGTAGTCTTATACTTGTTTAGGCCAGATAGCCAACTTTTAAATTTACTAAAGATTGTGAAACGTGTCTAATGTGTGGAATTTTGTACCAAAACCATTTTGGGGTAAAACATGAATTTATGGAATATGATAATAGTAGGGCCGATTAAGTATGCAATACATTACGCCTCATAGGGCCTATCTAATAACGAAACCTATAGTATGCTTAAGCCTACATTACAGGACTGGATTAATGATAATGCTTAGATATCTAGGATATATTTACATGTTTATTTATGAAATTTTGGTATTATTCGGCCTATTTCTGTGCAGAACCATTTGTCTAAATACTATAGTGTTAATTTGGTGCAGCATTTAGGATGTACAAACATATTTAGTAATCAAGCCAGCATTATTATGGGCCTAAAGTTATATGTACATGTCATAAAATTTAAATTTACCGTTTGATACTGAATTGCTTTTAGATGTTTTGGCATGTGACTGTTCTGCAGAAGAAGCAACTTGGTCAATAGTGACCTTTCTTGATTCTTTCCGGAAGAGCTGAGAAATTCTATATTGATACTGTTGCGTCAGCGAGTCACATGACCACCGTGACGCAACATTTCTAGAACTATCATGTACTTTGG